AGTAGTGTTTTTTCTCCTTTAATATCATTTTTAAAAATTCTTTTAAAGATTTATTTTATTTATTTGAAAGAGTTACAGAGAGAAGTAGAGACAGAGAGAGAGGTCTTCCATCCGATGGTTCACTCCCCAGATGGCCTCAATGGCCGGAGCTGCACCAATCTGAAGCTAGGAGTCAGGAGCTTCTTCTGGGTCTCCCATGTGGGTGCAGGGGCCCAAGGACTTGGGCCATCTTCTACTGCTATCCCAGGCCATAGCAGAGAGCTGGATCAGAAGAGGAGCAGCCAGGACTAGAACCGGTGCCTGTATGGAATGCTGGCGCTTCAGGCCAGGGTATTAACCACTTTGCCACAGCGCCAGCCCCAATATCATTTTTAGAATAGAGGAGATTCAAATTCATTTTCCAGGCCAAGGGGAAAATAATATGGCTTAAGATATGATGGATATCAGAGATAGAAGGTGTTTGGTGTCCCCATGGAGAGAATTCAGCTGTAAAACATAGGATAGGGATTCCAAGTTAGGTGATGAAGAGCCTGCAAAGAGATACCAAGGTGGTAGGAGGTAGAGATTAGGTAAGAATTCAAGGAATTGAGGGCAACCCCTTCAGAATTCAGCGGAAGCTTTGTGTACAAGGGCACTTCAAAGAATTTGGGGGGGAAGAGGTGGGTCTTTGGTGCAGGGTTATGATACCCGTTGGGACACTCATATCCCGCATTGGAATGCCTAGGTTTGAGTCCCTGCTCCACTTCCATTTTTAGCTGCCTATTAATGTGCACCTTGGGAAATAGTACATGATCACTAATGTGGATGGACTTCTGTCACCCATGTGGGGGAACCTGGATGGAGTTTCTGACTCTTGGCTTCAGTGTGGCCAGCCCCAGCTGTTATGGGCATTTGGGACTGAACCAGCATATGGGATGGGAGATTGCATTCTGTCTGTCTCTCAAATAAATTGAAAGAGAGAGAGAGAAAGAAAGAGAGAGAGAGAGAGAGAGAGAGAGAGAGAAAGAGCATTTAAAAAGTTCATGAAAAGTGTGTATTATAAAAAATGCACAGATTTCAAATTTGTACCCAAAGAAATTTTAATTCAAAATTTCCACAAACTTTTTAAGGTATCCTCATGTTCTTTGAAGAGTGATTCAATTCACCTAAGAACCTCACAGATTCTCTTTAAAACTTTGTTGAGCAAATTACATGGCACTTTCATCATTCCAGCTACTCAGGAAACGTAGGTTATGAAAGCTTAGAATTATGAAATGACACAAGTTGTGTGGTTAGACAGGAGCTTATCTGTTGAAAGTTTCTATTTCATAGTTTCCGAGGGGATGCACTCTGCATGACTTTTAGTACCTGAGTTGTCTTGTGATGTGTTGTGTTGATTTTCTTTTCACGCTTATTAATGAATATAAATTTCCAAAGTACGACTCATGGGTTACAATGGCTTCCCCCCCCCATACCGTCCCTCCCACCCACAACCCTCCCCTTTCCCACTCCCTCTCCCCTTCCATTCACATCAAGATTCATTCTCGATTATCTTAATATACAGAAGATCAGCTTAGTATACCTTAAGTAAGTATTTCAACAGTTTGCTCCCACACAGAAACATAAAGTGAAAAATAATAGATGATTTTTTTAAAATGATGATGAAATCAGATCAGACCTATTGTCATGTTTAATCCCAGTGAGAGTCAAGTTGGGAATTGAAAATTTCTTTCTTTTTTTTTTTTTTTTTTTACAGAAGATCAGTTTAGTGTACATTAAGTAAAGATTTCAGTCGTTTGCACCCCCATAGAAACACAAAGTGAAATATACTGTTTGAGTACTCGTTATAGCATTAAGCCTCAGTGTACAGCACGTTAAGGACCGAGATCCTACATGAGGAGTAAGTGCACAGTGACTCCTGTTGTTGACTTTACCAATTGACACTCCTGTTTATGGCATCAGTAATCTCCCTATGCACCAGTTATGAGTTTCCAAGGCTATGGAAGCCCCTTGAGTTCTCCGACTCTTATCTTGTTTAGACACAGTCATAGTCAAAGTGGAGGTTCTCTCCTCCCTTCAGAGAAAGGCACCTCCCTCTTTGAAGACCTGTTCTTTCCACTGGGATCTCACTCACAGAGATCTTTTTGCCAGAGTGTCTTGGCTTTCCATGCCTGAAATACTCTCATGGGCTTTTCAGCCAGATCCGAGTGCCTTTAGGGCTGATTCTGAGGCCAGAGTGCTATTTAGGACATCCGCCATTCTATGAGTCTGCTGAGTATCTCACTTCCCATGTTGGATCACTCTCCCCTTTATTTATTCTATCGGTTGGTGTTAGCAGATACTAGACTTGTTTATGTGCTCCCTTTGACTCTTAGTCCTTTCATTATGATCAATTGTGAACTGAAATTGATCACTTGGAGTAGTGAGATGGCATTGGCACATGCAGTACCTGAGTTTTAAGGAGTCTGGAGCCGAGGGAAAGGATGCATCAGTTCCTCTTTTGGCCCAGGCAGCATCACTGAGTCATGCTTGCAGGTGGGAGGGAATAATCTGAGGGTTGGGTCCACCAGCATGTTGAAAGTGGGTTCTCAGCATTGTGCCGGAAGTGCTGGGTCCTGAATCACACCTAACCCTTTCCGTAGCTGGCTGGCTGAGCTCTGTAAGAACCTGGGTCTGAAATCTCCTCTGCCTTCTTGTTCTCTCTACCCAGTATCTGCAGAGTACCACTGTCCTTTGTGATTATCTCTGCATCTTGTGAAGTACTTAACTAGTGTGTTCTTTAGAAGTAATGAACTTAGTGGTCCCAGTGGTGGATAACAACTACAGTGTGTTGAACTCTTACTGTATGCATTTTACCTAGGACCTCTGTTTGGAATGTGCCTTGGCTAAACTTCTATTTTAACAACTATTACAATTAAGTAATTTTTTCTATTATAAAAGACAGTATCAAGGAGTGCATCCTGTGTAGGCGCTGCTCTAAGTATTCGATGCATCTCGATGCACTTAAGCATCACAACAGCCCCATGATATAGCTATTCTGATCCCACTTTGCAGATAAAGGAGTTGAGGCTCAGAGAGGTGAGATATGTGCATGAAAAATCACACAGCTAGTGGGTGATTGGTTAGGGATTCGAACCCACATCTTTCTGATATCAACACCAGAGCCTTAATCTATAAATGATGAAATAGATGAGAATGCATTTCACTAGAAGGGGAAGACATATTTGAATATCAACTATTTGTTCAGGCTGTTTGCTGATTTTTTAGTACAAGCTTGGCAGGACAGTCTTCAAAGAACCTCAGCTGCTTGGAGGACTCAGGTGCTTAATCTGCATGTTTTGTACACTGCTCAGGTTTAGAAAATCTGATTGATTACCCCCCAAAGACCTGTAGTTTCTTCCATGAGCTCATAGAACAGGAGCGTGAATCTGAGGATAACCTTGATGCATCCATCTCAGAGAGTCTGATGGATAGGAAGCTCATTCATTCATTTGACAAATGGTCCCCATATTGCACACCTTTGTGTGCCACACCCTGTTTGTGTTGTGGAAACAGAGGTGTGGGAGGGGACATTCACAAGAAGACAAAGAGGACAACTTGGGGTGATCCATCCATGACAGATGGATGTGCAGAGGAGGCAGTGAACTGAGCAGGAAGGATCAGGTTGTGCGGGCTGGAGTTTTTCCCAGGAGATAGATAGTGTGAAACCCATAGATTGAAGACTTTAGGTTTCAGGGTCAGAGGATGGAACATGCCCATGATGCTAGGCTACAGGGGTGCTGGTGACTGCAATGTCTCTCTTGCCCATAGAGAGAAGTGTGATGAGGCCTGTGTCACTGACAGCCACCTGGTGGGAACATGATTATTAGGCACCATGCCAGCACAGCAGGAGCTCAGGACTCAGGATCAAGCTAGTTTGGAGTATCTCCTCACAACTTGCTGGCAGAATGACTTTAGGCAAGGTATTTACCACCCTGACCCTCAACTTATTTATATATGAAGATGGAGATAAGAATACCTACCTCTTTGTGTTATTGGGAGAGTTAATGAGCCAATGCACAGAAAGTGTTCAGAATTTCTTTTCACAAATGCTCAAGAGTTACTGCTAGCTGAGGCTTGGCTGGTGTTTACCAAGGGCCAGGCACCTGACAGGTTTACCAAGAACCTGTCAGTGGTTCTCAAATGGGAGGGGGTGATTCCTTCCCCAAGAGGACCTTGTGTAATATCTGGAGATGTATTTGATTGTCATGGATGAGGGGAGGGTGCTGCCATCATCAGGTGGGTGGAAACAAGGGATGTTGCCAAATGCCCTCTGATGCACAGGGTAGATCTGTCCCAAGTACCCAGTGTCCACAGTGAAAACTGTATTCTACATATGCATTAGTAGGAACCTCATGATGTGATTATTCCCTTGTTTCAGACAATAGAATATTAGAGACATTAAATGACTTGGGAATTCAATGACTTGTCCAAGTACAGGGAGCTGGTAAGAGCCAGGATTTGAACCCTGGCTGTCCTGCCCCAGAGTTCTTAGATCGTTACCCTAGGACTAGGTGGACTCTTGGAATAGATCAAAAGGTTCTGTAGGTGAGATAGTGGGAGGCTTCCCTGCCCTGGTGCTGGTGATTCTTAACCTCCATGTGATGGTTTGAGCAAAGTTTGTCCTGACCAAAACTCATGTTGAGGCTTTGGTTCCCATTGCAATGGTGTTGGGAGGTGGCGGGACCTTTAAAAGGCAATTAGGTCATAGAGGCTCCACTCTCATAAAGGAATTCATGTGGTTCCCTGGAGAGTAGGTTATCTTGAGAATGGGATGTTGTGAAGCAAAACAGACTCCTCCCCTCTCTGTCACACATGTGCTCTCTGCAAGAGCCACGTCCCCTTCTGTGCTGCTTTCCACCAGGAGTTGAACTACTGTGAGGCCCTCACCAGAAAAAAAGCAGATTCTTGTGTTGTGTTCCTGGTTTTACAGAACTGCTAGTTAAAATAAACCTCTTTCTTCATCTATCACCCAATCTCAGGCATTTTGTGACTGCAGCAGAAAGTGGCCTGCGGCATCTACCAAGCTTCAGAACGACTCGAAGAGGAAATTGGAGATGCAGATTCCTGGGTGCTGCCCCCAAGTGATTCTGATGCAGTTGTGTTTGGGACCCCACACCAGCCCTCCTGAACGCTTCCACAGGTAGTAGCAACACGATGCCAGACTTACAGCAAAATATTACAGGTTGTTTGCTGAAGCATTCAGCAAATACTGTGTTCAGAGCTTAATAAGTTTTTTTGGACATTGTCTAAGGAAACAGCTTAACTTCAAAAGCATTTGAGGTAGGGACCACAGTGTTTCTCAGGGGAAGACCCCGTGTCTGCTTGTTCTGAGACTCTTTTTATTTTTTTATTTTAAAGGCAGAGTTAGACTAACACACACACACACACACACACACACACACACACAGAGAGAGAGAGAGAGAGAGAGAGAGAGAGATAGCTTTCATCCACTGGTTCACTCCCTAAATGGCTGCAATGGCCGGCGCTGGGCCAGGCCAAAACTAGGAGCCTGGAACTCCATCTGTGTCTCCCACATAGGTGCAGGGACCCAAGCCATTTTCTGCTGCTTTCCCAGGCACGTGAGCAGGGAGCTGGATCAAAAGTGGAGCAGCCAGGACTCAAATTGGTGCCCATATGGGATGCTGACGTCACAGGCAACAGTTTTACCCACTATGCCACAACACTGGCCCCTGTTCCAAGACTCTTATTTCCCTAGGAGGGTAGTACAGTTGCATTTGGCTGCCTGTTTATCATCTTCAATTGTGCAATATAGCTGGTGCCGGGGCTCAATAGGCCTAGCGGCGCCGGCACACCGGGTTCTAGTCCCGGTCGGGGTGCCGGATTCTGTCCCCGTTGCCCCTCTTCCAGGCCAGCTCTCTGCTATGGCCCGGGAGTGCAGTGGAGGATGGCCCAAGTGCTTGGGCCCTGCACCTGCATGGGAGACCATGAGAAGCACCTGGCTCCTAGCTTCGGATCAGCGCGGTGCGCCAGCCACAGTGCGCTGGCCGCGGCGGCCATTGGAGGGTGAACCAATGGCAAAGGAAGACCTTTCTCTCTGTCTCTCTCTCTCTCACTGTCCACTCTGCCTGTAAAAAAAAAAAAATTGTGCAATGTAGACTTACTGTACATCCCTCTCCCTACCCTCACTCTTGCTCTTTATGGTACTGTCCTTATTGGCGTCTTCCATAGCCAATTACCCAGGACCCAAACTGAAAGTCCTCTGGAATTTGGCTTCCTTCACTCTACAGCCAGGATGCAAGTTCTTTCATCATATTTCTTGTGTTGATTGATCCCCACCTTCACTGTTCCTGTACTCTCTGGTTTACTTCTTTGTCACCTTAGGCTAAGATTGTTGCAGTAACCTCCTATCTGGGCTGCCAGCCTCAACTCTTTCCTCCAGTGTACTCAGCCAGGTAAATCATCTGAAAATTCCATTTTCTTTTGTTTATGAATTCAGTGATTCACTCATAGATATTTATTGAGCACTACTCTGTACCATACACTGTTCCGTACATACAAAGATACCCATGACTCTATCAGGCACTTTTTCTACTCATTGCTCTCCAGCTCCTTATGCTATTACAACCCCCCTCCTGTCCTAGCCCCACATTTTCTACATAGCCCCTAAGCCCTATTCCTTGCTCACTGTCTACTGCTCATCACTACCTTTGCAGCTTTGTCATGCTTTTCTCTACTGAAGGTGTCTACTCTCCCTAAGTCATGTATCAAACTCCTACTCATCCTTCAAAATCTCATTTCTTCAATGAACACTTCTTGGACTGCCCTAGTCTGGGACACTTTCTCTTGTCGTGTGATCTTACAGTGTCTGATGTCACCATTATTTTTGGAACTACTGCTTAATGTGCACATATGGATTCACTTTTATGCATGTCTGGTAGGAGAAAAGAGGTTGCAATCTGGAGTAGTTTATTGTAAAGGATTTAGTCACTCTGGGTGGCATGGTAGATGTAGACATGAAATAGGCATCAGTCTGCCAATTGTAGTTTTAAATTCCTGCGGATGGATCTCAGAGCCCAGATCTGCAAGCTACGTGCCTGGCTTACCCACTTGGACCAAATGTTGCGGCTCAGAATGGCCCAAACCCACAGAGGCCCTAGTTAGTATCTGTGTCTGGCAATAATTCCAAGAATTTCTGAATTTATCCCTTAGTGATTTTTTCCCCAGAGTTCAGTCAGCTAAAGAGAAAGAGAAACGCTTTAGCAATAATGTTTATTGAGTTCTTATTATGTGCTGGGTATTTTGTTAAGTGTTTTACATGCTTTGTTTTGTTCAACTTTCACAATAACCACATCAGGTTAAATGGACTGTTAACTCCATTTTACATGTGAGGAAACAGGCTAGGCCAGGTTTAGAACTTGTCCTAATTCACAGCACTGGGCAGGTGCAGTTAGGGAAACTCGAATCTCTGTTCTGCTCTGTTTAACTCTGTTATGCATGCAGGGGTTGGATCTAAAAAATATCAAGGACACCTAAGAATTTCCGATTTTTTAAAAAGATTTATTTATTTATTTGAAAGTCAGAGTTACACAGAGAGAGGAGAGGCAGAGAGAGAGAGATTGGTCTTCCATCTGATGGTTCACTCCCCAGATGGCCGCAATGGCTGGAGCTGCGCTGATCCGAAGCCAGGAGCCAGGTGGGTGCAGGGGCCCAAGGACCTGAACCATATTCTTCTGCTATCCCAAGCCATAGCAGAGAGCTGGATTGGAAGAGGAGCAGCCGGGACTAGAACTGGAGCCCACATGGGATGCCGGTGCTTCAGGCCAGGGTGTTAAGCCGCTGCGCCACAGTGCCGGCCCCAGAATTTCTGATTTTTAAATAAACTCTGGAACATACAGCCTTTGTCATCTGAAAAGTTGCAATGAAATGAGGGTTATTTTTAGAAATGACATGGTTCCATCTGAAAAGATGTTTAGCCATATTAGTAAAAGAAGATTTAAAATTGTGTCTTCTTGGTCACAACCCTATTCTATCCTGAAATGCTGGCTCTGGATAGCTGATAAGATAGTGAGCAAAAGGGCACATGTATTACAGTGTTTTCTAGGAAAACTTGTAGGTGAAAGACTTCATGAGAAATTTCACAGTGGAAATGAATACTCTTGTCAGTTATATTTCAAGGCAGATAATGAAATCTTTTCTTCTGGGAACATGATCCTTGCCCTGTGTTTACAGTTTTTGCTGGTTCAGGTGCCCTAAAATGCCTGTTATTGGGAACGCTTCCATTTCAGATTTCCCATTGGTCATGGGGCAAGAAACATCTTCCAGTCTTGTAAGAAACAGAGTGGTTTGATTTAGGGAGATGGAATTTGTAGCCATTGCCAGAGGAGCAGGTTTTCATGGTTTTTAAGTGTGTCTATTTGAAGAGAAAGCCTAGCAGTGACAGTGGCTGCATGATTTAAAAATTTGCTTTTGTTTTATATTATGAAAAGCTAGATGTTGAGAAGCATGTAACTGAGATGAAGTGAGCCAATGTACTGGTCTGGAAAATAAATCCAGGAAAGAACAAAGCTCTTGGTGATTCTGAATATTACATTTTTCCTTTGGAGTCAGTTGTAATTTTTGTGTCAGTTCTTATTAAAATAATGGCAGACACATTCATAATGAAACTTTATTAAATGTGGATGAGTCTCTGAGAAGAATAATAAAAAGCACTTCACTATACCTGTTTTAAACATCTCCAGTGTTTAAATTCTCCTAGACTCTTAAAATGTAGCTTCTCCTGGAAGAATGCTTCATATTTTATTTCTTCCTTAATAATGTGAGATATCAAGTCACTCTTACTCTTTTTAATTTTTTCATTTGCACATTTAATGAATCTCCTCTTATGTTCACAGTTAAGATACTTAGAATTATGTTAGAAGATATGATTTGGGTTACATTACTCTCAGAACTTTCCAATGTGGAAAACATTTTTAAAAAGATAATAGACTTAATGAGCAATCAAATTTTTCTTCAGTTATTGAAATCAAAGTGGTGCAATAAAATGCTATTCTTCTCCAAAATGTGCTCCATGTTTGACATTACTCCTGGTGGCTAGTGTTGTGGCAGCAGCTTAAGCTGCTGTTTACAACACTGGCATCCCATATCAGAGCACCAGTTCAAGTCCCCGCTGCTCCGCTTCCCATCTGGCTCCTTGCTGATGTTCCCTGGGAATGGGGCAGAGCAAATGTTTCAGCCTCTGTCACCCATGTGGGAGACCTAGATGGAATTCCTGGCTCCTGGCTTTGGCTTGGACCAGAGGCAGCCACTGTAGCCATGTGGGGAATGAAGCGGTAGATGGAAGGTCTCTTTCTCACTGTCTCCTCCACCCCACCTCCTGTCACTCTGCCATTCAAGTAAGTAAATGAATAAATCTTTGAAACTGTTTTCATGCCTTGTTTATTATTCAGTTCAAGGACTTTATTTGGGAGTCTGTAACATGACTTCTGAATCAGTTAAGAATTTTATTTTGAGTAACAGAGATCAAGCTATAGCTCTAAAAACATTAGAGTTTAATTTTCTTCAATAAAAATACAAAGGTAAGGTAGCTCAGTTTAGTGCAGCAACTGTATATGGGACCAGGCTCACTCTATCATTATACCCACTATGTTTAGTTTGTGAATTCTGTTGTCAAAGATACCTTATGGATTAATGTGGCTGCTGGAGCTCCAGTCATTACATTTGAGTTCCAGTTAGAAAAAAGAAATGAGGACTTTCTGAAATATCCATTAATAATGGCTGTTTACGTCTTGGTATCATTCTTGGCTGATAGATAATGTAAGGTGATATAATGTAACTTCAGCTAAAAGATCCTGTTAGTAAGGAATAAAGAATTAATGGATTGCAAGTAGCAGTTGCTGTCACAAGGTCTGTGTTTTAGTCTGGTTAGGCTGGATTATGCTACAGCCATGAAGGAACCCCCAATCTTAGTGACTAGATGCAACAAAGCCATCTTTCTTGCTCACTTGAGGTGTGGCCACTCCCCTCCAAGTGATGGCTGCTTCCTGTCAAGTCTCCTTCTCCTTGTGTGGCTTTTGTGAGCTAATGTGAGGACAGATAGAACTGGAGAGGTCCTGGAAGTGGCACATAGCACTTCTGTGTATAATCCTTTGGCCAGAATTAGTCACCAGAGCCCCTCCTGAC